GCAGTTCAGATAAAGCAAAGGAATTAACGTGATATCTATCTTGATTTTGATTATATTATACCTTTCCCATCATACTTAGTGAAACTAGCATTCGAGATGTTAATGGCTATACACCTTTACATCATGCTGCTGCTGCCAATAATGATATTGCAACGACCATTATTTGCTTACTGCTGGATAAAGCGGAAGCTAATATAGGTAAGTTCAATTTTATAACATCATTCTCTAACATCAACCATCTTAATAGTATTCTGGAAATAACATTAACTTACGTGTTTTGATGATAACTTCATTCATAAGCTTATTTTATTCTATTTCAATGATAGATATTGCTGATAATCGAAATTATTCACCTCTCCATCATGCATCGAAAAGTGGCCATGTAGCAGCTGTCAATACCCTTGTCGAAAAAGGCGCTAACGTTAACGCACGCAGTGATCAAGGCGAAACTCCACTCCACTTATCCGTAAGTTTTTACACTTAAATTTCGAAGTTGGATGTTTGGTTATAGCCATAGTAACCCAAAAGTAAAATCAACAGTATCATAGAGTAGATCATAACCTAAAAATTATCTTCACTCGATAGCTCCAACTTGATAGATATTGATAGTCTTGAATTATTTTTCCATCATCGATTTATTAGGCCTCAGGTGGTCATGAAATTGTTTCAACAACTTTACTCAATAATGGAGCTGATATTACTTTAGTCGATAATGATGGTTTAACACCGGTGGATGTAGCCAAGACAAGCCGACTTAAAGCAAAATTAAGAGGTAACCTACATGGCCAAAATATTGAATGTCTGTAGTATTAGTTACAAGAAATAGCCAACATTACTAATCCTATTAAATAATTTCGGTACATTTATAACCTATTTCATAACTTATGGCTTAGATGCATGGGCAGAACAAACCTATCTGAAAGTTGATATATCGGAACCACCAGCGGAAAATAATGACAGTATTACTCAAACAGATACTAAAGTACGATCATTTATGTCTACTCGATATGTTTAATACAAACTTTCATTTAAAACTTGTTTCCAATTTGATAGATATCACATTGTAAGCTATAATAAAATGATATTATTCTAAATTTGATTTATTTTACAACAAATAGCAAGCTGATGCCAGCACATCAACATCAGTAACAGCCAAAGAAAAAGCGAAAAGTAAGAGAAAATAGCAATACTGCATTCGTATATAAAATATTAGCAACTGCTGTGACATAGTAGAACGTGTATCTTAATCTGGATTTTGTTATTATGTCAATAGATGGAGAAGTAGAAAATGGTTCTCTTAAATCTCCTAGAAAACAGCCTAAAAAGATTAAGAAAACGTTAGTATTACCTCAATACATAAATAATAAATAATTATACAGAGTCTTGGTAAGCTATTTAATCTACTATCCTCAGGGCTTACTTTTCATCGCCAGTAGAAGGAATAGGTAGAATTAATTCACAGTATCTTTATGCTGACAATAAGGAAATAAATGTTTTCAATTACAGGAAAGACATTAAATCGACTCCTATCAAACCTACTACAAAACCGATAATCGAATCTCAAAACGGATTTCGACTTATTTCATTTGATCGAAAGCGATTAGATCAAAAGAATAAAAGTTGCGAAGGAAGGATCCAAAGTACAAAGACACTCTCTTCCTGTAGCTCAGGATATAAAAGTTCAGAGAAAAATAAAAATATATCGCGCAGCGTATCCTTACAAGGCACATGGACACAAAAAGTTTCTCATCAATCAGGTAAAATCATCCTATTTCAACTTAGTATGGCAGCATATCTATATGCGTTAAATATACAGTATTAAAAGAACTAGGAAAAAAAATCAATATTTTAAGAGTAGTTATAAAAATTAGAGACTGAAGAGTCGCTGTCACCTCTGGCAGTATCGTAAGCGTTAGTAATTTTTTCATGTTTGCTTCAAATTTAAATTAGATTCACAACCAATTCGCTTAAAAGTTTTCGATCTATCCGTGTCTGGAAATAACAAGAATCCTGCCAATAGTTGCTTTCCGGCAATTAATTTAGATGCTACAGTATCACTTGCACCACCACGAGGAATGCGCGGAGGAAGAATTTTGAGTGGTGGTAAAAACGAAAGGTAAGGATAAATATCAAAAACAGATAGGTTAATAACCCTATTAAAGTCATTTGAAAATAGCTTTTTTTAAGACCATGGCAATTAAAAATAAATAACTATTTTACTAGCTTATTTTTGTTCATAAACCATATCAAATCATGCATGTGGAGGATAATCAAGTTGATTTTCGCAGTTTTGATTACAAATCTTATACAAATCTAAATGGAATAACTACCATCTTTTGAGATAGCTCAAAGAGAGATGGATTAATTACTCGTATATCAAAAAATGTATTATATTTTATTTGTATCAAAAATTTCCTTCTGAAGCGTAGGAACCATGGCTTATATTGTACTATGAGAATCCAAACAATTTTTTTGTAGGGTTTATTTCTTATTTACTTAAAGATAATTTACCTTATGTTTTTTTCTTTTACTATTCTAATTAAAGGAAAAAAACACCATCTGATTCACTATCCTCATTCCATCAAAAAAGTGCTGGTCAATCACGTCAATTTTTACCAGGTTTGTAAATCTATACCCTAGAGTACAATAAAATGTAAATGTTGGCCATAAAATAAATGTAATCAAGTCGTGTATTATATTAAATATATACGAATCATCAATATGATGAATTATCTTCTCGCCGATTTCATGTAAAATCAAATTGCAAGCAGTTCAAAATGAAGTGCCTAAGCCATCATCTGTAAGTAAAGAAAAAGAAATTGCTTGGCTAATGAAAAATGTTTTCATTGGTTAATCATTGCCTTTCTGACCACTCTTTTTTCTCATCAACAGGCAATTGTATTACCAGCAATTCCAGATCGTGAAACTCAAGGAGTTGGCAATGAATCAAGGAGACCTCATATTGTCGATTTAGGTAATCATTTAATTGACTAGATAGCCAGTACATAGTATAAAACCTAGTTGATCAAGTGTGAGATACATGCTATAACAACTATAATTGAATGGAGAATAATTTTTTTTATCTATTTTAAGATTATTTATCATCGAAAGATACGGAAACTTCTCAAACAAATCAAGAAACAAATGGCTGTGATGGAGACATTAGTACTACTTCAAAGTCCTATAGCGATAATCGCGTTGGAATCAACACCATCGATTGCACTCCAGTAGAATTATCCAACACAGATAATAGCTTACAAGATAGTCCTCCTAGTCTTGAACGCCATCGCAGTAATCGACGTGGTCGTTTAAACCCTTTAAATCAAACTGATCAAGATCATTCAGCTAATATGACACCACCAGAAATGATGGATGCCAGCTCATCAAGTTCATTAAGTTGGTCATTAAATGATTCTCCAGCTTCATTAGTGATAGATTGTAGTGATGACCGAGAGGAAGCAACTCCACCTAGCAAGCCTGATGTAACTGATTTACTCAAGCTTAATCTATCTATGAGACCTAGAAATTTAAGTAGTATCTCAGAAAGGAATGAATCAGATTCAGAGCGAATATCGTCAGGACTTAGTAAATCCAATTGCAAAGATGGTCAAAAGAAACCAGACAATAACAGAAATCAAATTCGTTACGAAAAGTTATCAACGACGGATAGTTCTGCAATTACATCAACTACAGAGCATAGTGAAACAGATACTACATTACAATATGAGAGTAGCGATGCCACAGTTACTACAGCGAATAAAATTAAAAGTAATCATGATATAGAGAGGAATGGAGTAATGATAACCGAAAATAAGGATTTACTCGTTGAAAATAATACAACCATATCGAATCATGACCATAGCGTGAATGGCTTGACGTCAGATCCTTCTCGAAATGAACTAAATATTCCTCTTGATCCTTCAGCTAGGGTACCATCTAAAAATAGTAATTCTAGCGAGAATACATCTGAATTACCTATTAATGGCTTTAATGGATTATCATCTCAACATTTATCACAAAATGGTAGTAAAAGAGGTAGTATGGACTCAGAATTTACTAGTCGCAGCTATAATTCGTCATCAGTAACAGGTTATAAAGGTTCATCAGAAACATCCAACGATAGTATTGATGATAGTAATTACAAGACACGTTCAAGCCTTTCCAAAGTAACAAAACAACGTGTTCGAAAAGCTCCATTTCCTCTTCATCGTGAGGATAGCTTTGCAGACGATGAAATGAGTAATTATACATCAGGACAAAGTCGACGGACAAGCGAACTAAGTTGCATATCACAAGAAGCTATCGATGATTTAACACGATCCGGAGCAAAATCGGTAGCTGCTCAAATTGAAAATTTAAGCAAGAGTAATTTGCCAGTAATCCATACTGTACTAGATTCCGGTAGCCATCGTCTCTCCATTTGCAGTAGTTTTAACGGTATATCAAGCGATATTGATGACCCCGATGCCCAGCGAATTAGTTGGAAAAAGGGTCAAATTTTAGGAAAAGGAGGATTTGGCGTGGTAATGCTTTGAATATTATACCCATGTAGAAGTATAATTAATTATACTTGCTCAGTCATTTTTATTGTAGAATTTTAAATTTATAATATTTTAAATTAGATATTGGTTTTTAACTCAATAACTAAATTTTGTAGCAGTGTTAATCATTTTTATTACTTGACAGTATCATCTTACAATACTTAATTAATATTATAGGTGGTTTGCGGTCTTACTAATGATGGTCAACAGATTGCAGTGAAGCAGGTTTCATTAGATGATAAAGATATCGATAGCGCCGTGAAAGTATATGAAAATCTACGACATGAAATTAAAATGCTAAAAAATTTACGTCATCATAATATTGTACAGTAAGTAAATGTGAAACAATAACAGTCGTAAGCCTTGTTTTATTCAATTTACCATATACTGTAGAATCCAAAATGTAAGTATTAATTTTTCATTAATTATATTATCTCTCAATCACTCAGTTATCTAGGTATGGCTTTAGAAAATGATACGGTCAATATATTTATGGAGTTGGTAACAGGAGGCACAATTGCGAATGTTATAAAGAAGTAAGTAGAAAAGCTTATAATGATAAAATAACTCATAGTATGCGATAATTTTATAACATATATATGCGTATTTGCTCGCATAATACTCTAATAATCATTTTGTGTATAACTATCGATAACTAGTTTTGGACCATTGGATGAGAAAATTTTTAGTCGATACACAATGCAAATCCTCCAAGGTTTAAAATATGTTCACGATAGAAACATTATTCACAGGTAAGATTAATCGGATATTGAAGACACTAAGATATATCCAGTTTTAATTTAGATATTTCATAATACTTTACTAAAATCCATTATTAAAGCTAATATCAAAAACTATCTTTTTTTTTTGAGTTTGCTGCGGTAATAGTTTGAACTTGATCATATTATAAATGTCAATCTCCGTAGGGATATTAAAGGCAGCAATGTCATGTTAATGCCTTCTGGTGTTATCAAATTGATCGATTTTGGCTGTTCTAAAGTAATGCAAAAGACTTATGTATGTATACCAAATCCAATAATAAATCAATAAAGGATTCAAAAAGTGGTAAATATTCCTTGGTAACCTCCATTTTCTCATTTAGGCTGACTCTCACAGTAATAACAACAATACTGGAAGTCCAAATAATTCCGTGGGTGCAAGTTCCATTAAAGGTACTCCGTATTGGATGGCTCCAGAAGTAGTCAAGCAAAGTGTGTGCGGCTGCGAATCTGATATATGGTAAAGCATGGTGTAATTATGCTTCATTTTTGTGAATAAACCTCTTTGTTATAACTTAACATTCCAAAAGAATCGCTATAAAAGTGTTAATATTACCGTACCAATTTAATGATTAGGAGTACCGGTTGCACAGTCTTTGAAATGGCTACAGGAAAACCACCTTGGTATTTTAAAATTATTAGCTACATATAAAAATATGAAGTGTCAATTATAGAAGCCTTAAAAACTTGTTTGAGTGAGCCTAAACCTTGTTATTATTCTATATGTAGGGCTGAATTTAATAAATTAGCGGCACTATATAAGATTGGTTCCGATACTGAGCCTCCACAATTGTCTACTGATTTATTTTCAGAAGATTGCGTCAATTTTGTAAAATCTTGTTTAACAAGGTGATCTAGAGCATAAGAAATAATATAATATTTGTTACCACTTTCTACTTACGCCAATAAATGAATTGCTAAAGTTTGCACAAACGAAAAGGATTAAGCCACCACTGGTTTATTCTAACTTACTGTAATAAATTAGAGTTTTTATTTAACTTGCTATATCTTATTTTTCAAAGGAGCTTAACTTTCTCTTCTCCTATTTGTAATAGAGATCCAAAAGCAAGACCAAGTGCTACGCAGCTTCTTCGATTACCATTCGTAGTACTGTAATTAAATATCTGTTTACAATCAGATAACTAGTGCCAGCACTCTAAACGATAAATTTGCTCGACCATTTTTTATTCATGGAATATTTTGTAAACATAGCTTATGATTTCTAAGTCTGTTTACTAGCTTTATTATCTCTTCGAGATAAGAGAACTACAATACGATCAATATTCAACAAATAGGGAATTACTCGTCGAATATTTGATTGATTCTAGTTACAAACGCAAGATACTTTTTAACAATTACCGAATATGTTTAAGTAAATGTCTATTATTTCATCTCCCATTGGTTTTCACCCATCTTTAATTTGCTAAGGACAAAATTTTTTGTAAATCTATGATACATATAATTTTACAGCTTATATAAGTTCGTTACATCTGTCTGAATTCTAACTTACAATATATGGAATTTATGTTTTATTACAATTTCCTTGACTGAAGATTACTTCAGGCAGTGTTTGTTAACATTTGGGTTGATAGGAGATTATTGTAGTATACTTTTAAGGCTACAAATACAGAAAATACTGTACTCTCTTTAAACCTTTTAATTTGTCGCATTGATTTGCCGAAGGCAATTGTATTACCGATAAATAATGATCAATGATGTTCCTGAAAGAATATTTCATCTGATTGACTTTTGATCTATAAATTAAATTATAGTGTATGATAAACTCGTGTATGTACGGTATAAGCGCAAGTATTTTTAATTTATATATTCTACGCTTGACACTAAATCTTACAGGTATGGAGTGTAAGATATCTATCCAAGTGCTCTTAAGTCTTCACATTTGGGCATGTTTAATTTTGACTGCAATAAATAGTTCAAATTTTGATCTAAGAATCTTCAAATACTCACAAAGTGTAGTAAGTAAGTTTATTTAGAATACTATCGTGCTTTTTTATACTCTATGTAATCGTATCATTGGTTTTAATGGGTGATTTGATCAATCTTTTTTTACTTCAAACTTATCGTTTTCTATCTACTATATTTGAAAGATAAATGTACAATTTCTATTACGATGAGCAATTAGCAACCCTGTTTTATCATTTACTCGATCTTCAACTTTTATTTTGATTCAAGACTGTAATTAGATCCTTTTTTTGCATGTTTAATTGATGCAACTGTTTCCCTTTTGTTATGTATATATATGCTATGATATTGTCATCGACTTGTTTTTTAAGTATATTTGTTATTCTATTGAGAATAAAATTTACTCGATAAAAAAGATCTATGTTAGTTTATTTATCATTAATAGTCATTAAACTTATTATTAGCTAATGGTAACTTACACAATGACTTTAACCTTAGACAATGAATTAATTTATCACTGAAAAAAATAATCATAATTTTAAGTTAGACTTTTAGAATAGCTACTGATAGCATATCACACCTTCTTTATATTAATAAATTACTTTCCTTTACGTGGTGTGATATCCAATTATGGTGGAGCACTGAAATAAAATTTAAACTAAAACATAGTCAACAAATAAAGAATTTTGGTCCTACATTTAGCGTAGCTTCTCAATCTCGGTAATGAAAATATAAATCTAATATCGAATTTAATATTTTAGTATCAAATCGTTATAAATAAAGAATATTTCTTATATATGATATGATTGAATACTTTACAATTCAATTCTTGATTTCATATCCTTATATGAATGAAGTATTACGGTATTAAGTATATTAGCTATGTTAGCTTAACTTAGCAGATCTTCTTAATTTATGACTTAATGATTGTACTAACAGAAATACTACAGTTTAATTGACTAATCAGCAGATTAATAGTAGTATCAGAAATGAGGATAAACTAATTCAGTTTCACTGATCTGTTATCCTATACTATCTTAGCCTAAATACTCGTAGGCCTTACAAAGTAGCAAAAGCCGGAGCTAAACTTAAAAGTGGAGTGTAATAAAATACTACTGCAGTAAGAAACACTTTAAAGAACTTGGAAGACTATGAAACGGTCGTAGATTGAAGAAGTAATATACAGTATATGGAAAATGGCTAATTAAATTAGCCTGATATCTCAATGTATGATCAAGGTAGCATTAATAGATATGATCTGATAAAGCAGTTTAAGTTAAAATGAGATTATGTGCACTACGTCGATTCGAATCAATTTTAGCGAATTAGGCATCTTTTCAATGCTAGTTTCATTAACTGCTAAATTAGTTTTGACTTATCGATAATGAAGATTTATTAGATTTGTCCGTATAGCTTGATGTTGAATGTCAAATACATAAGGAATAAAAGATTATTCAATATTGCTATCTGGTCTATCAAACCGTAAAAGAAATGCTATGCATTTCGATATTATAATTCTATACTCTTGCCTGTAATTAGAAAAGTATCTTAATTCTTGATGCGATATTGAAACTGGATAAATCACTAGCAAAATTGATACCCATCTAATGGTGTGATCATCAAAAATGGTAAAATTGGTTTTGGACAAATTTAATTCTCCAAATATGGCTTATGTACATAATTATTCCGTTCCAGATTATGATGCAATTCATTTTTTAATGGCAAAAAAGATTGACAGTTTTGTCCTAAGTACATGCTGAAATAATGTGTAAAAATGAGGTTAAGAAATTAGATATCCATGCTAAGATGATAACAATTACTTTAGCTCTCCAATTGTCAAACTCATTTTGTAACGGTAAGGCGATAGTAAACACTGAAATCGATCAAATTTGTTATAACGTCAAATTTAACAATATTTGAAGAGCATAAAAGTAAACAGTACCTAAATATTATTATATCATTTAATAAAAATATCTATAAGTATTGGCGTAGGATTTTCTTTGTAATCCAACTCATCATAGCAACTATGAAATGTAGCCAAATTCAAATCTTTCTATACTTATGCTTTGATAATTCGTGTAACCAAAGGGAAAAGTTAGATCATTTTGATTGTTGCCTAGACGAAAATGAAACTAACCGTTGTCATAGAGACTAACCTATGGCAAAGGGAGCGAAATATAAAGAGGTGGGAAAGATATTCATTAACAAACCTATCTACTTCATCGCATTTGATAAACAATTACAATCAATAAATGAAAATAGTTGAGGAATATGGAGGACATTTGGTAAAATCAGGAGAAGCGATTAGGTTGTATTAGTAAAACGATATACGAATCGCATATTGGCTGTGGTAAAAATTAGAATAGTATTTTAGGTGAAATAATAAGCATCATTGGTTTATGTGAAGGTTGTAGCATGGGAAAAAGATGGCCCTGTAAAGTAACTAACTGATATTTTATACCCTATGGTTAGAGTGATAATACAGTACTTGTAAAATACAAAGTATCACTTGTCACAACATCAGGAAATAGTTTGGAAAATTGTAAACAAATTACAAATTATGGTTAACACGAGATCCATCAATATAGCTTGAATAATGTTATCTGTTTACTTTTTTCTCCTAGCTCCCTCTTGACGATAGTATAGACTATTACAATGTCATACATAAAATCAATTTTTAAATGAAATGTTGAAGGTTTCTGAACAGTTGCTGGATGGAATGCGATAGCGATTGTAAATATGAGAGTAATATGGAATAACAATGTGTCTAGCTTAAATGAATACCTTATTATCTATTTTCCAAAGGTAACTGCCATCAAGCGTGTTGTTACTTCTTTACAATTGAATGTATTATTAATAAATCATACATATTTATAAGCCTTATTTGCAAATTGAAGCCATCTCATACGCTGTGATACTCCACTTGAGTGTCGATCATACGCAAGAAATGAAATTTTTCAAAGCTATCGTTATTCCATAATAATTTCTTATTAGCAATTACCAGCTTAACTGAGTTTAGGCAATATTGATCGTCATAATAGAGCTATTTTAGCGGTGGAATTTGTCAAGGTAGTGATAAACTAATTTAAACGAGGGTACACGCATTGTTTACGAGATTGGAATAGAAAATAGTTGCAAGATTTCATTAGGTAATAGGCATAGACAAGTTATCGAGAGGTTCAATAGGTAAATCATGATCCATTTTTAGTAGAATCTTGTACATCGATCGATGTCGTTATTATTAATTATCCCTTATTTTTTTCCTTTTGGAGTGGGGGGGGGGGGGGGACGGTCAAGTAACTTTTCATTTTAGTATTATTCCTTGGTTAAAGAAGTGCACTATACATGACCTGTAAATCATATCATTTCCACTCCCCAAAATGATTCATTGTAATTGCTGATCTGTTAGTCATGATTATAATACAGTTTAAGGAGATCACGTTTACGCATTTGCTCTATTAATCATTGATAATAGAAAGAGGAATTCCTCAAAGTCGGTTATTCGTTATTTCTCTCTCTCTCTTGATTATTCTCAAGGGTACCTATTTCAAGAATATAAGAGGATGAAGAAAATAGAAATGCTATAGTTGAATTCAAGTCCAGTCCAAAACTGCTTTCAATTCATTTCGATCGTTTTATCATTCCTTATACCTTGCCATGGTCTTCCTGTCGGAGGAAATTCTATTTTTTATTGATCAAGACTGCTAAAAATATGCCCTATGTCTGCTTTACTATTATACCGTATACTTGAATACAGTACAGTAGACTACTGTCTATCCTATGGTACAATAAGTAATCCTATTTCGCTATTTCCTTCATATACTGTAGTCCACTGTATCCATGGATCAATTATTCTGCATGTGGAGCTAAATATAAACCGGTTCAAGCAAATAATGGTCCTATTTCGCTATTTCCTTCATATACTGTAGT